GCGCTCCACCAGCCAGCCGTCCGCCGGTTCCGAGACGACCCCGACCCCGAAGGTGCTCCCTCCCAGCCTTCTGGGGACGATCCAAGCGCCCAGGAGGACCCTGCGTCTCAGCCCACTTGGCCACCGCGCAACTTTTCCAGGGGAAATCTAAATCCCAGACGCGCTTTTCTCCTCGGGGATCAAGCTCAGGAAACTGGAGAGCCCGACCCTTCCTGGGAACCGCCCAGTCTACCTCTGACTTTCCCCCAATCCTCCACCAAGACCTGGATTTGGGGAGAAGAGATTTTTGCCCAAGATCCCAGCGGATGTGAAGGGCAGTGGCAGAGGGAGGGAGAGGGGTGGTGCGTAGCCAACACCGTGATGCGTAGCCAGCACCCAGCCTATCATCCTGGCTGTGCAGGATTAGTCAATGTTATATTGAATGTTCATTGCAAGAAATTTCGAAAGAGGTTGTATATCTTAGAGGAAGGTCTTTGCTTCCGTTGCCTTTCAGCAACACACAGCAGCTGGCTTTTATTGGGATCATCAGGGACACATTCGTTTAAGGGAGGATGTATACGCTGTGTCCAGCTCAGCCGTGGGACCTCTGTTTTCAGATGCTGTGTGTTTAGATAGGTAGATGATCCCCAGCACACACTCACTGCCACTGAGTCAATCCTGACTCACAGTGACCCCCGGTGGGTTTTCCAGCTGCAATTGTTTCAGGAGTAGAAAGCACAGTCTTTCTCCCGCAGAGCAGCTGGTGGTTTTGAACTGCCGACCATGGGGGCTAGGAGCGGGGGAGAGGGAAAGAGAATGAACCAAGGCATAACTCATTACACCACCAGAGCTCATTATAGTCGTAAATAAAAAGAAGAATGTCTAATATTTGAATAGAAAAGAACGTGTCACTTTAAATGGACATTCCGTGGCAGATGTTTTAAAAAAAAGAGTATGTGATATTTTAACATTTTCACTGTAAGATCAACGGTGATGTTTTCTCAGAAACATTTCAGTAGTTGCTTGTTACTCTAGATTATTAAAACAACCATAGCCTATTTCTGCATACTATTTCAATTTTAATTTTTCCCCATATTTTCTGTCGTTTTTTTCTTGTCCACTCGATTTCTTCGAAAGGAAATGCAATGGTCACTATTCTAATTTGTAAAGCACAGTTAACTCACATCAAAGGTTTTGGTAGCTATACATATAGGGGAAAGAGTTGGTTTTGTAACCTTAATCTACATTCTCTGATTTATCCAAGTGGCTTCTCAGAAGTTTACTACAAAATTTTAAATGAAGGAAGGTTATTTTATTTATTTATTGAGCGTGAGGTGAATTCTCCTTTCTTTAAATAAGTCATGTTTAAGAACCATCCTTTCTATCTTTGACTGAAATTTCTCTTGCCTTGTTTTTTTTTTTCTTAGCCATACAATGAACTTTTGGGTTTTTTTCCTTTATAAATTTTTCATGAATTTTAACATGCTTTAATGGGATATGCATGTTCATTGGAAATATTGATTTCTTGCTTTGTGGCCCACCTGAGGCAAATGTACATAAAAGGCTTCATCTTCATCGCAAGCATTTTTAAATCTTAACACTTCTGCTGTCTTTTTCCATTTACATTTGGTCCTTTCTCCTACCAATAATATAAGATGCTTTAAACCTTCCCTAAAGGATAATATGACATTATACTAATTATAATATTTCTATAGGCTTGAGCTTCAAGTTAAAATCTCTAGGAAGGACATACATTGTACAAGGATCAGACTAATCATAGTAATATTATGTACAACAGAACAATACATGGCCCAGTCCCATTGTCATTATTGTTGACCCCATTGTTGCAGCCACTGTGTCAATCCATTTCCTGGATGGTCTCCCTCTTTTCCCTGACCCTCTACCAAGCATGATGTCCTCATCCAGTGACTAGTCCTCCTGAAAGTGCCCTCATGGCATAGTGAGTTAGGAGTTATTCTGCTTGCTAACCACAAGGTCAGTAGCTCGAACTTACCAGTTGCCCAGAAGCAGAAAAATGAAACTTTCTGATTGCATGGGTCATTTCTAACATGTCCTAGAATCACTCACCATTCATTGAAATGGATTCAAGGGCAGTGAGTTTTTGGTTTGGTCCCTTCTGATAACATCTTCAAAATATATGAGACAGAGTCTTGCCAGCTTCGATTCTAAGGAGCTTTCTGGCTACACCTCTGTGAAGACAGATTTGTTTGGTCCTTTGGCCATCCTTGATCTATTCAATATTCTTCACCAAAACCATAACTCAAATGCATCGATTCTCCATTGGTCTACCTTATTCATTGTCCCTCTTTCACATGTAAATGAGGTGATTAGGAATAGTATGCCTGGGTCAGGAGCACCTTTGTCCTCAAATGACATCTTTACTCTTTAACCTTCTAAATAAGTCTTGTACACCCGATTTGTCCAATGCAATAAGTCGTTTGATTTCTTGACTGCTGCTTTCATGCACCTTGATTGTGGATCCAAGTAAAATAAAGTCCTGGACAATTCCAATACTTTTTCATTTATTATGCTTGTTGGTCCATTCGTAATAGTTTTTGTTTTCTTTACGTTGAGTTCTGACCCATACTGAACTCTGTGTTCTGCAGGTCCTCTTGGCTTCCAGCAAGTATGATTGTGTTCACTTCAAAGGTCCTCAATGAGCCTCTTCAAATAGTTGTGTTTCTTGGATTATTTGCTGAACACACAGATTAAATAAGGATGATGAAAGAATACAACTCTGATGCACCCTCTTCTTAATTTTAAACCATTTAGTTAGTATCCCTTTGTTCTTTTGAAACAACTGACTCTTGGTCTGTGTACAGGTAGCAGATGAGCACAATGAAGTGTTCTGGAATTCCCATATTTTACAATGTTACAATAATTTGTCATGATCCATACAGTTGAATTCTTTTTGTAATCAATAAAACACAAGTTAACATCTTTCTGGTATTCTCTGCTTTCAGCCAAGATCCATCTAATGTCTGCAATGATATCCTTTGTTCTGCATCCTTTTCTAAATCTAGCTTGAATCCACTTTATCTTAGAGTCCATTAAAGAATGCACAAAATTCATCTTACTTCCACTTGTCCAATTTCTATACATTTGTGGTTTCAGATCTATGTTCTGATCTCAGCTTCCTCAGCATATGTTATTTTGTCATGTCCCTTTAAAAATTTACCTATTATACTTCCCACCTACTTTCCTTTTCCCAAGATGTTTGCTTCTATAGGAGATTCTTCATTGTGACCCTTTTGTTCCCAATCCTATGTTTTTCTTTTCTTGATCTACATGATAGTTAATTACTCCTATTTTTCCTAGCTTCTCTATTTAGCTAGCCTGTTTTAATTGAAAGTTCAATATCTTGAAAAGAAGGCACAAAAGGTCAAAGTAGTGAACTTAACTGACCTGAGTCAGAGAAAGAATATACCTGAGTTTCCCAGTCCAGAGAGCAATACAGATGACTCAATTGTGTCAACAAAAATAAACGACTCACGCACTCTTTACCCATTTATGTATAATTGACTTTTGTGTATGAAAGACACGTGACTATCTTAACGACAGGAGACTTTGAATGACCATATTTGAACTTTCATCAGATTAACTCGGATTTTTTTTCCTATGAAACTCTGTCTTTAAACACACACACACACACACACACACACTATATCTTTCAAAGTAAAAATAGTCATTTCCAAAGAGGCTCTTTCATTTGCCATCATTTAGCCTATACTGTAACAGCCACACTTGGACAAAATTGTGATCAAATGGTAATAAATTAACTTAATTTAAAATTAAGAGACTTAATGACTTAGCCATGTAAAATATCTTAGGACTAGTGATATTAATTACATTGGAACATGTCTAAATTCACAAAAGGGAATGAGGAGAAAAACCTTTATAACGAAGTTGATTCCATGAAATGGAGGTGAGACACTTTTATCCCTTAACCTTTTTATAAACGGGGCCATCAGCGGTTGCTCCACAGCAGTTTCTTCTTCTCTTCTGTGATAGAGAAGCCATTGCAATGGCCATATTCATAGTTAAGTGGTTGATTAAGGTACAGGTAGAGGTTGGGACCAGGAAAACTGTAGATCAAGTGTTCTTCCTTCAGTACAGGACAGGGATGCTCAGTTCTTCCCAACTGCAGGCTCCACCTGAGCCTCTGAAAACAGGGCACTCTTGGTCCCCTCAGAACAGGTTCCTTTGGCCCTCTCTAGACAGACTCCTTTTGGTCTTGTCATGTGTTACTGCCAGCTCTACTGCTGAGTCCCTTGCGGGCCTCTCACTATGTTTAGTAGTACAGCTTTGGATCCATATTACAGTTGTTATAGGACGTCCCTTGCCCCCTCTTTCTCCTCATTTCCTTCTGTCTCCAAAATCTCTGTGAGCCTGGCAGCTTCAATACACAAATTCAATTGCAAGGCATGGCACTCTCACCAGGCCATGAGCTAACCAATCCCCTCCTAGTAGGCAACAGAGACTTCATTTGCATAGAAAGCTATAACTCATTTCCTTTGCATAACTTATTGCAGGCCAATCCCTGCAAGGTGCTGCTGCCAAGGATCAAGCAGAATTTATCAAGCCATCCTTATTTAGAGTTTACCCAGTCAATCAAACTGAACAAAAGTATCACAGTCTCTGGAGTAGAAAAGAGGGCTCAGGACTTAAGCGAAATAGCTCTCAAGTGATTTTTCAAAAGAGCCAAAGCCGAAGGTCCCATTCGACAACTGAATGGTAAATAGAAGCTGAATCTTACACCTCTGTGAACCCTTGTCCGTTGGCCAGACGAAATTATTTCTCTCTCCGATC